ATATCTAGGTCTAGATTCTAGATCTAGAATCTAGATATAGATATCTATATCTAGAATCTAGTTCTAGATTAGATCTAGATCTAGATCTAGATCTAGAATCTAGTCCATGCCATGCCTAGAATCCATCATCTCATTTCGTCCTCCCGAAAAAAATGTGTCCACAAGCCGAAAATAATACGTAGCGAATGAGTTAAAAGGACCCAAAACGACCTTTCTGTAACAATTCAAACATACACCATGAAATGGTTATGAAATGAAATTTACCAATGCAGAAAAAAAAACCCCGTTGAATCACATCTTTCATTCACTTTCAAATTACAAGCCCAAGCGTCGTTGGTGACAAGAAACAAGTCGATGCAGAAGCGAAGCAGTTCCGGGTTCCAGATTATTTTTTGTTTACTATAGATTCTACCGCCAAAGACATAATTATAGCCGCTAAAAGTGCGCAATAGTTTATAATAATTCTATATATATCTATTTTGTTTATCCATTCATTTATTTTGTTATTTACAGTTGTATTTATTATAATCTATTCAATTATTAATCTATTCATTCCTTACATTTCTTAGTCAATCAAGGCACCAAGGCATCCTACTCCTGCTACATATAGGCTGTAGTTTTTGAGTTTTCAGATTTCAGTTGTGCAGTGGACTAGGCGTATATTGTTATCACCCCACCCACGGAGAAAAGATTTTAAAAATGTATTATTATTATCATTATACAATGTACTTTGCTGTGGGTCCTTGGTCCCACGCAATTCCTATCGTATTTGCTACAGGCTGTATTATTATGAAAAGGGGTGAGGTGGGAGGGGGTGGACAAAAACATACATAGACTAAATGTTTTTTAAGGGGTTGTGTACACGATACGAGGAATTTTCTATGGGTTTGACTTTCTTTCAATTTTTAAAAGAGATATAGGCTAATTGTAGACTATTTAGAAAAATCATGACGGATTAATTTGTCGAGTTTTATGAAAAAGTTGGTCTCTGTGGAGGCCATCTTGGATTTTTGGCCATTGTTGCGGGGGAACATTTTTCCATAGATAATATTAGAATTCATACGTGTCAAACTTTACACCCGTATTTACAAACAAATTATCTGTGATCATAGGCTTGTTTTTTTTCCGATCAATAAAAACAGCAAAAATATTTATATATCACTGAACTAACACCGAAAAAACGAGTATAAGAAAAAAAATCAGGAGTATTTTAAAAAGAAATCTATTTTTTACAAAATCCCAGCCTACGATCACAGAACATTTTATACAGCACCGTGTGCCAAATTTCAAGAAATGTGGCTCTGATGGTTTCAGAAAGAAAAAAAAAAGATTTCCCCCCCGCGGTTACCTTAGTGGAAAAAAGTACTTTTGAGAACGCAACAAAAAAAAATTGGATAGCGTCAAAGTTT